TCACTGTGAACTCGAAGAAATATCCCGCGCGAAAGCAGGAAAAATGACAACTCACTCACGTTGACGAATTGACACAGTCATGGACGTACGTCTGGTTTACAACAAACGAGTTCTTCTTCGTATCGATAATGGAGTCAGAGAGGACATGTCGAAACGAAAGTGTTGTAAATGTTGACGAGCGGCATGTGTCCCAATCCGTTTTGTGACCAAAATAGTTTCTTTGAGCTGCGATGCAATTCACTCACCGTGTGACGAAAACGACATCGACACGGACTCATTCCCAAGGCCATGACTTGGCAAAGCTATCCGTGTGACTTCGACGACATTTTGAGAAAAACAGACGCTTGTGAATGCTGATAGAAGACGGCGTTGACTGCTAAATTCAAATAAATTGGCGATCTTGAAATACTAAAAATAAATCTCGAAAAGCTACAGCGCGATGACTCCCTGACTTCCATATTCACTCACACCATTGCAGTGTTGTGGGTGTGTTCACATGGCGTGAGCCAGTCAAGTGTCAGTCAGTTCGGCAGGAAGCGCGACCTCCAACAACAAGTCGTTTGGTGCAGCCATCTTCTTTGTCTTGTACCAGCTTGATCACCAAAACAATGAAAAAAAAGTTTGACTTGAGGATAGGTTGGGATTTGAACTCACAACTTCATGGTCAGGAGACAGCATTCATAACCACAAGGCCAAAAAGGAAAGGAGAAATCGTGGGTTTTGATAAAAAAATCAATACTGGCTTCCTGGGCAAATTGTAAACCATGGGAAAAGGCCGGAAACCTGGCCGAAATTCTAACTCCTTAACGGTTGGTCCAATTGTTCCGAAACCTTCACAGAACAATTTGCCGTGTCCTAACAAGCCATTCTATGTACTTTGTTGTCCAAATTTCCCTTATCTTCATACTTTTTTAGACCCAAACCTGATTGTAAATCTTTTTGAAACAGACTATAGCTCTCATCACCAACCGTATCCTTAATGCCCGGGACAAACGAATGTACACAGGTGTCTGCTTACTGGACATGTCAAAAGCATTCGATAAAGTTAGACATCACCAACTAATTCTCGACCTCTTCAATGTTGGTGTCACGGCCACAGCCCTGCGGTGGTTCATTTCTTACCTCTCCGAACGGACCCAGCGTGTGTGTATCGGACCATCACGCAGCACTATCACTCTCTGCACCTGCGGAGTGCCACAGGGATCTGTGCTCGGCCCCATTTTGTTCAACGTATAAACTCGGGAAATACCCTATGTTGCTGGACAAGCTTTGTCTTTGCAGTTTGCAGATGACATTGGTTTCACTTGCAGCAAACCGACTAAGTCTGAAGTGTCTGCAATTCTGTCTGCGTCAGCTTTAGCTATAGCTAACTGGCTAAACGACCGTGGCTTGATCATGAATGCTTCCAAAAGCCAGGTGATCTCCATTTCTGGGAACCTACCTGAGAAGCATACTCCACTCTCGGTGAACTTTAACGGGACCCTGCTTCCTCTTGTGGAGTCTGCCAGGTACCTTGGCATAACATTTGATAGCAACATGTCTTGGGATGACCACGTAACCCGCTGTGCAAACAGTGTATCACGAAAGATCGGAGTCCTGTGGAGAATGCGGCGTTGCCTCAGCACACAGGGTCGGATAACTTATTTCAAGTCCATCATAATGCCCGATCTTCTATATGGATCAAATGCATTCTCGACATCTCTGGCAGCCAGGCACTGTCATCGACTACAGGTTCTGCAAAACCGTGGTGCCCGTGTAGTGTTCGGACGCCCGCCATGGACATCCGCACATGACCTACTGGAGCGCCTCTCACTGTATCGGGTAACCGAAGTGTACAAGCAGAAGCTGGCATTCCTTGCATGGCGCTGCCGTTACGGCCAAGCAAGTCCTGAGCTTCAGGTTCTCTTGCTGCCAGCTTGTGGCCGGTCCACGCGCCTGGACTCCAGCATGGGTCTCTGCCTGCCAACCGCCCGCAGCAACTCTGGAAAGGGGACATTCGCCTTCCAGGGTGCGCTATGCTGGAACAACCTGCCTAGCAGTATTCGCTCCATCTCTGTTCCTCGTCAGTTCCGTGCTGCCGCAGTCCCCTTTCTTTTATTAACTGAGAACATTGCAAAGCAATTGTATGTGTGGCTGTCAATGTACATGTGTGTGTGTGTGTTTGTGTGTGTGTGTGTGTGTGTGTGTGTGTGTGTGTGTGTGTGTGTGTGCACGCGCATGTGCGTGTGTGTGTGTGGGGGGGGGGGTATGTGTCGGAGTATGTGTGTATTGGTGTGTAGGTGTGGGTATGTACATCTATGTGTGTGTGTGTGTGTGTGTGTGTGTGTGTGTGTGTGTGTGTGTGTGTGTATGTGTGTGTGTGTGTGTGTGTGGGGGGGGGGGTGTGGATGTGTGGATGTGTGGATGTGTGGGTGTGTGGGCGTACATGTAGATGTGCAATGCTTCGATTTCTCTCTCTCTTCTCTTCTCTCTTCCTGTTGGTGTCTCCCGCTTCTGGGCCGGCATGGCCCATGCTTCATGCGTGTTTGTTCCTGGTTTGTTATGTCTACTGTGTCCTGCCGCTACTCCGGCTTTGGCCATAACCACAATGTGTCTCCCCATTTTCTCCTTTATCCTTTCCTTTCTCTTTTTGCGAAAAGCTTTCTTCTCGCCGTGACCACGATTTTTCTTCTTCTTCTCCATTATTCTTTTTCTTTCCTTCCTTTCTCTTCTTCCTTTGCTGAGACCCTTCTGTTCCCATATTTTCTTTTCATCTGTGTCCCCATTCCTGGGTTATTTGGACTTCATTCGCTTCCTTGTCATTGGACATGTTCAGTCCGTTCGGTTTGCGAATTCAAATAAACACAACCAACCAACCAACCACATGCTTGGACTTGGGTAGGTGACGGGCTGTCAACTTGACTCCATGTACGGCTGGCACTTTGAGCTCCTCCACAAGTGCTAGTTGGTACGGTGATAGCTTGTCTGAGAATGTTCTCATCACTTCTTGATGTGGATGTGGATGTGGATAATCGTTAAAGTAGTGGTGCAGCGAAGTGGGTACATCAAGGTCGCACTCGACAATGAACCCAGTGCTCGAATCTACAGGGTGTGCCGGTATCTCGGATAGGTTATTGTCACACAAGGCAAACTCGGATGTCATAGGCTGTGTTTACATGAAGCGTTTCAACCCGGGTCAGATTTCAACCCGCCATGTTCACAAAGTGAATGGCGCGTTTACATGACGCATTGCGAGTGGAAATTTCGCCCCGAGTTGATTTCAACCCTCCCCCCGAAACAGCTCATGCAAGAAGCAGTTCCGAAGAAGGAAGTTCCTCTCGCATGCACATCTGAAAACGGACTGCACTGCAACACAATGTCTGCTGTGCACGTGCACAGCACGCCGCTACCACGCGTTGGTAGATCTAATACCAAGCACCTTAAGTAGAAACTTACGTAGGAGAAAAGGCCCCAAGCTGCACCCTCTGGTTTTCATGTACTCTTGCTGGCATCTATCACGCCTGACTGCCCTCCACCTTGGGTATGCATTCGCAACTAAATGTACTATTATTGCTGCACGGCTACATGCATGTAGTAGTAAAAGCAGAATATTGATATACATATTGGACAGAGCTAGAGAACAGCAGCCGAAGCATGTATAGCACGGCTGTGCATGTTGTACGCGTATCCGTGTTATTATTATTATGTCTCCTTTATTCACTTCTTTCGAAGGCGATAAGCCAGACCCGACGGGAAATATTTCCATGGGTGGGACAGCAAAAAGAAAGTGAAAAAAATAAAAAGCCAAATACCAAAGGGACAAGAAGTAGGGGAAGGAAGAGGAAGAAAGGAAAGAAACTCAATCCAAACTCCAACATCAAAATAATAATATAGAATTTGCAACGACAGGTATTGTACAAAGACAGGTATTGTACAACATTAAGGATAAGGACATTGATGTTGTTATGGGGAGTACAAAGGAAATATCTTTATCAGTCGTTATTCAAGTCTCTTGGCTATTGACCATGAAAACGCAGCAGATGTGTCTTTACATGTTAAGGACAGTTCTTAGTATTTTAAGCGAACATTATTATTATTTTGTTAGGATCGGAAGATCTCACGAAACGGCCACGATCACAAGAGGACGAGGTTCAATATGTTCAAATCTCAATTCGACAACAGTGGAAAGAGAGTCTCAGAGGTTCGATTGAAAGACAAGACCGAGAGAAAATGTCCCAGCCAGAGCTTATCATGGGCCTGGGTAGCTATGGAAATAAATGTGCTAAAGCGCGAGTCCAGCTACCCCAGTCCGTGCGCCAAGTTCAAAAAAGTCGTCTAAAAGTTGCACTTTTATTTGCAACCGCGGGAAATTTGAAGACGAATTTAGTGACATACCGAATTATTCTCAATTTTCGACTATTGGTTACCTCGAGAATACAGGCTTATCCTCCTATATCGATTGCTTTTGCGCCGTTATGGTGTTATAAGGGTGAGCGATGAGCACATTTTTCGAAAGTGCACCTCGATATTCGACATCTCAAGTCGTTCCGGTGCCTTTTTGTTTCTCTTCTCAATTTCCCATTTCGTAAATACGTCGCAGGAGATTGTGGGCCGTCTTATTTTGCAAGGCTCTATCTCTGATAAAACTACGCGAATGGGCGGACAGATGGTGTTGCTATAGGCCAGGAAGAAACCACGAGTGTCCGCACTGTGACCAAGTCCAAATGGGCCGCCAAAGCCGGGGCTCGAAACTGCATCCTGACAGGCAATGCGGACCATGTGTAGCCTGCCAAGATGTTCCCCTTGATGGCAGATATGCCCACCCCGATACCACGCAATGCTGGGAATATGCACATCACCCTACAATACCACGAAATGCATGTATCTGCAAGAAATGCATGAAAAGGCTCATAAATCATTCAGCAGAGCCAATGCCTAGCGCCTGTCACTGACAACGTGCATGCCTGCACAGCATGTTGCAGCACCGGCACCAACACCCGCAACAATACCAGACTGCTCAGTAGATGGTTGTGATTTGCCACGGCATGTCACAGTTTCATTACAAGCAGTAGAGCTGGCCGAGAAGCTTAACGTGAAAGTAAACGCAAACGATCAGCCAGCGGGTCTCTGCAACCGGCATAACATGCAGCTACATGACAGCAACAGGCCCACATGCACCATGTGTGGCGCACAAATAAGGGGTGTTAAGCGTAAATGTCCGAACGTCGGAGCAGTTCAGCGTCAGCTGCACACTGAGCGTGGTCTTACGGTCACCGCGGATAGTGCTTTTTGCCTAGCCTGTTATAAAGGCCAACTGGATATGGTGGACAGTCAGACTACTGACTTCAAGCTGGAGAGCCTGGTGCAGAGTATAACAGACGAAATGCACCAATGCACCTCACCCGAGGAGTCTGCATTGCTGGCAACAGCAAGATTTGTCTGTCTTGCATTCCTCGAGAACCGTTCTCTTCTTCTGGCAACGGCTGCTGATTTCTTCACCATCCAGCGACTGCAACAACCGGTGGCTACTGTCCAGCCTTATTTCGAAGCTTGGCGCTCATCTCAGTCATGGGTCATATGGTACCAGTAAGAAACGAGGTACGCTCCTGTATCGTACAGGGTGTGACACAGTTCTGTGCTTATACAATTCCCTCGCCGTTGCACGATCCCAGACCCTGAAACACAGAGCACAAAATGAAACCCAGCACACACAGCACACAAGCCAACCCAGTGGCCCATCATCCTTCGTATCAGAGCTGTCGGCTGCAATGCACTCATAAATCAAAAGTCAAGCACAAAGAGCATAACGACCTAACTTCACTGTCGGAAATGAAGCTGGACGCAGTGGTGGATAGTGTGGACAGTGAGTTGTGGGGAAACATTTGGCTGATGATGTACGGCCAATCGGAGTCAGAAGGAAGTCAAGCATCCAACCACCGTGCAAAGATGATCCGGTGCTTGTTTGTTCTATCATGCATGATGCATGCAAGCACACCAGCATGCACTTACCCTTTCCAGCTTGTTCTTTCGGACATTTGTGGATGCACATAGCAATTCCAGCGAGCTCATGCGAGTACTAGCTCGAGTCGGCGCAACAGCAGGTGGCGACTCCTACAAGCGATATCAAAAGACCATCATGGATAAGAAATCAGAGCTCGGAATGAACAGTGAGATACCTCACGCAAAGTTCTCCATTGCAACAGTGGATAATATCGACAAAAACGAGCCAGGCAGGCGAATGTACTACGGAGACCAATCAAGAGGCTTTCATGGTACATGTACATCTATTCAGAGCATCACACCAAAGCCCATCAGTGGCAATATCGTCGCGTGCAACAACATAGACCGAGTGCCACATCAAGGATTCCACTGTGCATCACAGCCTGCCGACACAAGTGAACCACAGGGTATGCGAGGCAGGCTGAGGTCCCGTGCAAGAACAATGATTGAAGGCCAGAAGCCACAAGTCGACCACCAGAGCACGCAGAGACACTTACCTACACCCCAGTCACAGCTGGATGATGCCATTCAGCCTGATTGGCCCACTGGACCTAGTGCTGTTGATGACGAGCGCGCAAGACCATCTACAGAAAGCACAGAGAATCCAGAAAATACGGCAAAAACCTGTGACACAACTATCACACATGATCAAGATAAGGCTGCAAGTACAGAATGTTCAGCATGCAACACCCAGCCCGCGCCAGATGACGCGCGCGTGTCTGTGTGTGTGTGTGTGTGTGCTTCTATGGCTTCTGCTGTAGCATCTTTATCATCGCCTCCGGCGATGGGCGTCCAATGGTCCAATGGTGTGTGTGCGTGTGTGTGTGTGTGTGTGTGATACGTGTTTGTATGTGTGTGTGTGTGTGTGTGTGTGTGTGCACGCATGCGCGCGTGTGTGAGTGTGTATATGTGTGTGATGCTGAATTCGAAGACACATGCTCTCACAATGCATTCGCACATGCTGCGGACCCTGCGTCTCCAGCACTTGCTTTTCTTTCAGGACCTGCACTTCTGTGCAGTTGTGCTAAACTATATAAAAAGTTTCTTTGACTATGTACTCCATCTATAATTATGTAATGAACGTCCTACCATGGTACATACAAAAGAAACTGTTCCACAGACTACCTTCAGCCAGAACTTTAGCAAACTAGATCAGCAGCCAGGAATACTGCTGGATTTTGATTAAAATCTGGGCCCCAATCACACGACTTACATAGAAATTCCGTATAGATGTCGAAGACAAAACAGCAAGGGGACTAGTTTGCAATGTAGAGGTGCCCAAGGAAAATAAGCAGCCAAAACGTCCTTGTTCAAGCACAATTACTTTAGTGCAAAATTCCACACAATTCGACATACCTCCACGAAATTGTGGGCCGCTCCATTTTGCATAGCCTTATTGGGATGTGCTTTGGGAATCCAAACCCAAATATATCTACCTTTGGCTTAGAGCATAAGCCGAGAGTGTCCGCTATATGCTATCCACTCCAGCACGACAAGCAAGTTGATGGTACGATTACGACGAAAAAATATGTAGTGCAAACACAGGTCTTCATGGTCTACAGTTGGGCGCAACGAACCTCAGCTAAAGTGACATAGGTGACAAAGGGACATACCTCAGCAGCAAACCAAGTTATGAACAAGGATTCCTCCAGCACACGCCAGTTCAGATCCAAATAAGGTTGCAAATTCCCAACAAAACAATTGTGTCGTCGTCATCTTTTTGCACCTCGATTTTTCCCGCGGTTGCAAATAAAAAACAGGCTACTCAAGGGCTTGGCGCACGGACTGACCCAGGCCAAAGGAAGAAAAGGTTAGGAAAGGGGACAAGGGCGAGTACGAGGGTAAAGGTGAATGCGAGTCTGTGAAGGTGAGTACGTCGAGTGTGCGCCTGAAAAGGTGAGTACGTCCCTGTAAAGGTAAGTTCGCGCGAAAGGCTAAAGGGACAAGCTTATCTATTTTTGCGGATTTTCTTTCATAAAAAATAAACGTCACAGGCTGCTCTTCCGAGTCTTCGGAGGTGTCCGCGTCCCAGCGGTCCGGGCAAGCGACCGAATCTCAGTGGGACACTTGGCCGTGGCCTTTGTACTGGAATCTGTGGGAGAGCCTTTCCAGGGACTACACACCTGGGTACCCGGGTATCGGGTATGGCTCCTTTTTTGTTCCTTTCCTTTTTATTTGTTTTTGCTGAGAAAGAAACGTTGCTGGATGGAAAGCTTTCTGTTCCCGCCATGCGCCAGCGCCTTTGCTCTAGTAAAACATTGCTGGCTGATAATGGTCATTGCTCGTGATGTCAACTTAGAAGGTGACGGGAAGCTGGGTTTCTTGCCATTTCCAACTTCCTGACTCTGAAAATGTAGCTTGAACTAAGAGCTCCAAATATTTCAGTTTTTCGATGTGCCAGACCTATTGTTACGACCTGCAGAGATGAGGAGAAAGTGAGGCGTTGGATTAATGCCAATAATGGTGTTTATGGCCCGGACGACGCCAGCGGTTTTCACTTGTCAGGAGGACAGCCAAGTTGGAGCAGGCAGATGACAGAATGATTATTAACTTTGAGCATTTATAGCAGAGTGGGTGGCTTGCCAAAGAGAATCGTCTTAGTACCTCATGGTTACTAGTATCTGACAAATGCCTCTTATTGCTAGTCCGCACTAGAGCATTAGCAGAATTGATCATGTCACAAGTAGTGTCAAGACTTGATGTCCTACGATTATTCTCAGATCATGTTGCTACTTCACAGGAATATTCGTCCTGCCACTGTACACTCTTCCAGAATTGCATGCAGAAGTCACATGCCTGTCACAGTGTGCAAGGGACAACGCGTTTGCACTGCTTACGGATTCAAGCGGATGGAGTGCAGGCCAGATAAGAAGACTTAATCTGGCTATTCAAATAGCTTGGGCTGCTATTAATTGGCTAGACTCCTGGAAACATGGACAAGAATCTAAACCAGTCCACGGAAACAATATCACGCCACACAGGAAGCTAAATGGCAAACCAATCAAGTTCTTTGGTAATGAAGCCGTTCACCAACATTGTCCGGTTGCATGGCTAGTGTCACTCAAACAAGACCAATGGACCTAAAAGATACGCTGTTGATCAACCACAACTCCAATACCACTGAGCAGTGTCTTCTATACAGATCCAATTAGATCTTCAAGTATATGAGTGGAAGTTGCTGGTATAGTCTCTCCTAATGACCGCGTATTTGGCATAATGTTCTCTATACTGCACTCTAGAGCTACTTACCTTTTCCGGCATTGAACTCAGGCAGGGACCACTCGCCTGCAGAAGGAGCCAATTGACACAGAAGCTAAGTACCATGTGCATCCGTCGCAAGAGAAACACGCAAGTCTGCAAGTGAAGTGGATGGACACCCGCTGATTTTCTCTTATGCCGATATCAGACATGACCTGAGTGAAACGTATGAAGACTTGCACCACATTACCGCACAATTCCATATAATTATTGCGAGGCCTTGTGAAATGATTCTCAATGCGCACCTGGTCTACGCCACACGGAATACATCGGATTATAATCGCCAAGACAGCTGCCTATGTCTGTCTGTCCCTGTCTGTCTCTGCCTCTGTCTCTCTCTCTCTGTCTCCTCTCTCTCTCTCTCTCTCTGTCTCTCTCTCTCTGTCTGTCTCTGTCCCTCTGTCTGTGTGTGTGTGTGTGTGTGTGTCTCTCTCTCTCTCTCTCTCTCTCTCTACCTATACCCAATCTGCGGACAGAACTGTTTCGTCCTTTGTGAACTCATCAGCGCAGCACAGAGAAAATGAGGCCGAACCTGATTGCAATGAAAAATAAAATTTCCAAAGCCAGACTTAATTCTCCACCTATCAACTCCCTTCTGTGTGTATGCGCGTGCATGGGTGCAGGGTATATGCGCACATATCTTTCTCTCTCTCTCTCTCTTCCTGTCTTTACCTGGTTTGTGAATCGGCTTTTTTAATCGTATTTTTTCGGCTCACTGTTTTATGAGTTCACCTCACTATATTTTTTCTGCTGCTACCTACTT